TCATCGGATGTAAATTTATTAATTAATGTCCGTCTGTCAAATGTTTTAATGGAAGACTCGGTATAGGTGGCTAATGTAAGCTGTTTCTTTCCAAGACTCAACACGGAGTGACTTGACCAGGAACAGATATAAAAAAAGATAAACCAGGAAAACACAGGAAAATGTTAGATGATGATAACGCAGCTTTACAACTGAATGAAACCTATCTGTGCCATCACGAATGACGTCAGTCAGAGTTGAATGTTTTCTAACAATGTAGACAGGGACACGAAAACACTCTTCAGAAAAACACAGGCGATGATTAGAATGGTGACTTTGTTTATTCATGAAACATGTAATACAAATGCCATATTTTTAAACGATATTACGTACATGTTAACTGGTTTAATGCATAAACCGCAACCGTTATATGTCTTGTAGCTTTATCAGGCAAGACTACATGAACACGTCATAGAAAGGACATTACAAAAAGAATACACCTGCAAGTTGTGACGATCATTTAAAAACATGAAATGAAAGCAGGTGTAACGTCAATCAACATTTAGTTCTACCTTTGTCCATTAAGTGGAAATGGTAAAATGTCGAGACTGAATGCTACAATATCGCAACTTCGGAATATGACTTCTTGAGACGGGAAAACCCCAATCTGCAGTTACCCGTTATTTCACCGTACACCAAAGCACTTTACCTCGTTTAAGGTATCGGATTACTCGCAACAGTTCAACAAGTGTAACCAAAACTATACAAGTTCGCTACATCCGGGTTTCTCATGTACACTATGGACATGCTGGTGCCACCGAAACTGTATGGCATGTGCCTGGTTTGAGGAGGATATCAGACCAACCAATCAACAATCGTCTCCATGAGGTGGGATTTAGACACAGACGATTGGTACTAGTTCCTGTATTCTGACGATTACATCGACGACAATGTATGCGATGGGGAAACACCATACATGCATGTTTTCCCCGACCTGCAGTTCCACAGGTCTACCGTTTAAGTGCCGGAAGTGTGATTACACGTGATCTGTCTGGGTGGTTCTGGGAAATAAGACAACAAATCGGTACGTCGAACATTCTATAACGCCACCAATGTTCTCCTGGTAATCATCTGTAGGCATATTCAGTCTCTGCTTGGGAGGCGGTGAACAGCGATAACAGCACACTGGTGAACGTACGTGTCGTGTGACAAGATAATCAGTACATGTGGTTATGCACCAAGTTTCATCCTTGTATCAATTAAATTGTGAGTGAGTGAGTGAGTGTGCTTTGTTTTACGGTTATCATCTGTAGGCATATTCAGTCTCTGCTAGGGAGGTGTTGATCAGCAATAACAGCACATTGGTGAACGTACGTGTCCTGTGACAGGACAATCAGTATCGCCGCCAAACTACCAGTTGCATCACGGCTGTAACACGAGGCACGTTTATCTCAGTCATGATCAGTGTTAGACATACTTCTGTTCTTTGGGCTGACTGTAGTGTGAGAAAAGTATGGTGGTTTAAGACGTACCAGTTCGTTCTACAGAGTTATATCCCACCAGGATCCGCTGATCGATGACTCGTTTTGACACATGATCTGCATCATAAGGCTTGGGTTGGCCCAGGTGTCTGAAACACTGCATTAATGTTTGGATGGGTGTTACGTGATACCAGAGTTGTCTCCCTGTGGTTTAAGTGCGTCGTATTGATTGTGATCCATGCTCTTCTAGGACGTTATTGTAACCAAAGTGCATAACGTCAACAACCTCACTTTCCTCACATCTTAATCAACCACGCCATGTTATAACTAAAATACGTTTTCAAAGCAGCGATTTTACCCAACTCACTTCGTGTTTGTGCCAGGACACATAGGTCTTGTATTCACACAGTTTGCCCTGCAATCACTACGAATTCCATTTAAAACAATATTGCACCGAAATAATTCAGGACTGTAATATGACGAAACGCAAAGCCTTGTCGGTGACAAAGAAATTGTAGGGCGCTTCTCTCGCCATCTTTGTTGCAACATTAAATCTCACTCACTTCTCTTCGCGTTGGGTATTTAGAAGCTAAAATGGAATTGGTCGACACAAAGTTGCGTTTTATACCACACCATAATGATGTAAAGACGAACAATTGCCAGAGGTTATAAGGGGCCGAGTGGGTATGTGTTATCAATTCACTACTTAAGTGTATTGTAGGGCGCTTCTCTCGCCATCTTTGTTGCAACATTAAATCTCACTCACTTCTCTTCGCGTTGGGTATTAAGAAGCTAAAATGGAATTGGTCGACACAATGTTGGTATATTGCGTTTTATATCACACCATAATGATGTAAAGACGAACAATTGCCAGAGGCTATAAGGGGCCGAGTGGGTATGTATTATTAATTCATACTTAAGTGTATTCAGGGGATGTAAAAGAGACACCTCATCTATGCATGGGAATATTCTGTGTTTCTTGTAAATATATTCAATATATAAATAAAACGGTATTCAATGTTTGTAAACATACAAAGTCAGTGCAAAAAAATACCCAGTCTTGATTGTTTTCAAATACCGATTCCATTCAGTGTAAAGGGCAAAAAAGCTGACGACATTATATCAACTGACCTCCGAAAATCAGTGACGAGATCAGGTGTTCATCAGGTGCGGAAAGCACGTCCTGTCCTACCAGCTGGGCTCACCATTCACATGACTTACCTCAAAAAGTAAGTGTTGGCCGACGCTGCACTGTGTACAATGCAATATCAACAGATGTCATACAGATGGTGAAGGAATTCTTGAATTCTGCGCTATTTTCAAATAGTGACATTATGTAATGCGTTTGTTACCAGCGAATGGAGAGTATACTCGCCAGAAGTTAATTCGCCTAAAACTCTAACACTAAGCGAATGCAGATCAAAGGGAGATAAGTATGTTTTTAATGTGATAACAAATATACCACAGTATGTCCATGACAATAATCATAATTTGGACAGGAAAGTTACAGTTCTTCCATAGTTCTCCCAGAGTATTCTTTTCGAAGAACATCATGTTGGCTTAAACTTTCTGTCGAATAGTCTACAGAAGTCCGCTGACTGCCAAGCTGGATGTACAACCTTCATCTTCAAATATTATCAGTTCGGTATAAAGGAAAACATAATCGTTTTGTATGTATTTCCTAAATAATGATAAAGTGTTACAAACATTTCGGTCTGAATTATTGATTGGATTCGCTTGAAAATGTAACAAAAGTTTGTTTGGGCATAATAAATTGTCCGTTGTAATTCGCCATCGTGACCTGTACTATGTTGGAGAACGAAACACAATTCTCCTTGTTGAGTTCCCACGGGATGTTCCCTAAAACTATGTTATGATGACTTAATAATATCTCGTCACTGCATTTTCAATAAAACCGAGAAAACCATTTCAATAATTTAAACAATATCACATTGTACTACATCATAACCATATCAATCACTATTTATGAGTGATTTTCATCTGAACTAACTAAGGAACATATGGTACATATAAGGAATTGCATCGGGGATCACTGTGGCTACTGATGCTTCTAATCTGGAAATACTATCCAGGTGTCTAAATAGTACCTTTTGAAACCCTTAGTTAGTCCTGAAATGCTATAACCCTGATTACACAAATGTTTTGGTAAGCGTCGAATGACAATCTTTAGAATATAGTGTTAACTAGAGATTGGAACTTCAGATTTATCGATATTGTGTTTTGCATATAAAAAATGAAATGAATCGGGCGTGCTACCGAAAATGACTAGTTGTAAAGGAAAACGTTTCAAGACAGCCATACATTGTCTATGAAGACTTTCTGTACACCGAGAACTGTAGAAAACAATTATTGCGTGTTGATGGAAACATTGCTTGACCACGTGTAACAGTTTGTGATGACTTTATTCATATATATGTAGCATTTCAGCTGAAGCGTCATGCAAGAACAAGTAACTATGTACATCTTGCTAAGCCTATAAGGTGTGAACTGTGCAAATAAGCTGATCATTCATTTCGAAACTCAACCTGAACATTGTTTTTAAGTGATAAATATCAAATTAAACATGAAACATATTTCGATATAAAAAACATGATTATAAAACCGAAATGTTTTTGATAGATTGGAATGTAAAAGGAATCTGTACAAATGTAACTATATTCTATCAATTATAGATCGTACAGTATAACAAGGTACCTTACAGGAACATATACATGTATATCATAAAGAAACAGAAACACTCAATATGTTGTACCAACGGAGATACATTTACACCAATTATTTAGGATGAATTCTTAGTAAAGAGTACAATGTGTGAAGCAAATGTTCGACACGTCCGACAGTCGAGTATGTGCTCTTCAGCCTACTAGTTTGCTGTGTATAGGTATAGGTGCCTCATCCATTAACAACCTAGGCTCCAGTGGGATGGAGGAGGTCGTTACCTATGTTTCACGTCAGGGCTGAATAATATCCTCTACCGAAACCGTTATTTGATATCCTGTTCAAACGCGACGGTTCAGGATTCACTTGCGAAAGGTTTCGATATTTACACAGAACACGTCACAATTTAATTCTGACAAGGGATTTGACCAAAAGTGCAGTTCTTATGAATATATGCGGTTAACGGTTATCGCTCAGTTACACCACATTGTAACTTCCCTTCAATTTGTATGAAAACATTTTGCACATATTATCAAGAGTTTGGTTTTACGCCGTTTTTAGCAACATTCCAGCAATATCACAGTGAGGAACACCAGAACTGAACACATTATACCCTGACCTTTCCCTGAATGAGCGAACGCTTTAACTACTGTGCTACCTCACCGACCCATATAAAGAGGTGTCTACTGTTACATTAGGGCTGTTTACAGTGAAGAGGTAGCATCTCATTGATGGTCTGTAATTTAAATCGTACGGCATATGATCAACCCAGCGCTAAGGTTGTTTCGTGGAACAAGGTCTTGATAAGTTATTGTAAGTCGGTGTCTTGATTGTGTCGTCGTTCTCATCCTCAGTATTAATCTATGAGGTGTTGATGTAGATGTTGTCACTGTGAGGACTGGCCCTGACTATGGATGTCGTTCCTTCTTCTGTTGTGCGAGGAGGTGGTATGACATCATATGTTCCATTTTCTGTTTGTGTTGGGAAGGCTAAACTGCAGTAGGTATTTACTGAATCTGTATTGAAGTGAACCGGTTGATTCTCGCAGTTGGTCGCAAAACACAGTTTCTTTTGCCTGAAACACCGAAGAGTACATGAAATCCACTCTTGCTGAAAACACGTTTCCTTCAGCAATAATGTGTATTGACGTTATTGCTGATAGGTTTGGGTTTTTTTTCTTGTTTTGCTTCTTTGTTTTCTTTTTTGTGGGTTTTTGTTTGTTTGTTTGTTGTTGTTTTGTTTTGTTTGGGGTTTTTGGGGGGGAGACCAAAGATAGATTTGAGATGAATGTAGTTTGGATTGCCTGAAATGTATGATAATATTTCGTAACCTTAAAATGAAAAGCTACTCATCCTGGATATAAAAGTGTCTTTTCTTACCTTGATAAGAAATACACTGCCATGCTGACTGTCAGAACAAGCGTCACGCATCCTACACCTAGTCCAATGAAGCCTCCTTCTGAAAGTAAAACATGTATACACCAACTATACATTGTACTATCATCAAATTTGGTAGTTATTACCAAGATTACATTAAAAAGGATACATGTAACAGCAGGAAGGGCAAAGTTTTTACACATGAAGATCCTGACGTTGGTATGTTCTTAGATGTCAAAGTGGAACAGAAATATTTTAATGTGTTCAAACACATCTATTTCCAGAACTGCATATAATTCCATATTTTGTCAGTTTAATTCTATTAAGCAGTTCGTATAAGGGAATATTTAAAATGTGTCAATTTCGATTATATCATATTATTGATGTCGGTGGAACTCGTGCATGATTGTGTTCGACACACACCTATCACGGGATTTTTCGAAGGTTTCATCGCATCATTCGGTCCTGTTATGGGTGTTTCAACATCGGTAAAGTTGATGTTGTCAGTTGTGGCACCATCTCCTGACGGTTGTAATTGTGTTCCTGATGGAGTGATCACAATGAATGATTAATATTTAACGAATCAGTGTATAATTTCAAGGGAGTTGTTATGAAAGCTGACGTTAGCATCACTACATATGCATTACGGCGGAGGGATACAACAATTGACATTCGTGTATTTTAACCATTGGCAGGATGGAAAGCAAGTGTTTGCTTGTATAACGCCAAACTCAGCAATACTCCGGCTATATGGCGGCGGCCAGTAAATAATCAAGTGTGGAAAAGACAATCCAGTGATCAACATCATGAGCATCGATCAACGTAGTTACCATACGATGACATGAGTGAACCAGCTCAGCGAGCCTGACCACCCGACCCGTTAGTCGCCTCTTACGACAAGCATGAGTTGCTGAAGACCAAGTCTAACCCGGATCTTCAAGGGTAGGATCGAACCCCAACATTTGACAAAACAATAATTAAGCCACCCCACTGTCCCCTATTTTACATAATACGCAAACACAAGTAACAGTTGACAGCGAGTCAGCAAGTACTGACGGAAATAAAAGAATCGATAATGAGAAGAGTGAGCTGAGGGACATCGCAATTTCTCAACCATATAGAAATACTGAGAATCAATTAGTCCTGTATTATGAAGTGTTAATGAGATATTGAGATAGGAATAAAACATTTATATGTTTTATTTCACAAACTTGAAATGTGTTTGAGAAATAAAACATATAACTGGACTCCATATATCATTACATACCACCATGTGCCAAATTAAATACAATTTTTAACAGTAAGTCCTATGTCTCCAGCTAGAAGAATGTAAGAATGTCAATATCATCAGTTCAAATCACTTCCTGTGAAGGGGAATACATTGCGTCTCATGTCACAAGCGTGCTTTCATACGAAAAATAATATGCACTTCTTCCTTATTGACCTTGACCCTACCAAATTTCGTCCACCTTCACTATACATTTCTTTGGATGTCACGAACATTATTTAGAGAGTAAAAAATTGACCTTTGATGTAAAATGCATGTACTTCATAAACACACATAAGTACACTATAATATCATGTGTTTGTAGGATTTGAATGTTTGATTCCTTAGAAAAAAAAACAGAATTGCATTTTATTTTATGTCCATGTCTGGACATTACATCTCGAGTCAAATATAATGATTCAACACATTACCCAGCTCGTATAACGGTATATGTGAAGGGGGGAGGGAGATGCGGTTTACGTTGCTCTTATCACTATTAATCAGAAACACAATGCGCATCAGCCTAAGATCTGATTGTACATGTTAGCATAAAGCCAAAGAGCACGATAATGGTGTTGACAAACCGAGTATACAAATCAGGGTGAATCGTGTCTCCGATCATGATATTTTGCAAACATTTTGCGACTCTGCTCAGCGAATTCTGATGCCTAAAATGACTTGGTCACACATGTGCCCTACTTTTCCGATCTGTTTTACATTTGTTAGATATATGATTAAGAATAGCTATTTAAAAGTCTGGAAATGAACTTATTTCAGTTGCGATTTACAAAAATGGTACAGATTAGTTCAACTGGTTTCTGGAAGACACAAGCTACTGTATGCCTGTCTGGTTTCAGCGCCAGGATGACTGAAGTGAGGAAGTGAACTAAGAGCCATACCATCTTCACAAAGGAACTTTCTGTTTTCTGAACATGGCCTCCAGTATAAACGCTTTCCTCCATTCCTCTGCTTGTACACACTGAGACACCTAGCTATAGTGTGTGAAGACAAAGCACCGCGGCGCCCGTCGTATTTCAAAGCCGTCTCCCCTAAGAAAAACATTGAACAGGATATACACAAATGTTATAACATAGCCTTTCAGATACATTGTACTTTCTGTAAACTCAGTGTCACAGGTGAAAATGTATAGTATCGTACTCTTGATTTTCTCTTTTCAAACGAAATGTTCTTCAGGTTTCAGGTATGTCATCATTTACCATTCTATCGAGACATTTAGTATTCGCTTTAAATAAATATACATGGAGACAAATTACTATTTGTCAGGACTAAGGCATTAAAAGAAAAGTAATCCAGAAATGATTCCATCTATATGACAACCGAGTCTGGTCTACACAATCCAGTGTCTAACATTATGAGCTACGATGACATGTATCAACCAGGTGATTGAGTCTGACCACCTCGCCTCTTATGACAAGCATCGCTTGCTGAAGACAAAATCTAATTCGGATCTTCACATGTACATTAACCATGCTGAAAACCTTGTTGAGATTATTTTGACGATAATGCAACTCAGTCAGTATGGACCGAGCCATGCAACATATAAAACGTGACATAAATGAACCTGATATTTTTTGCAGTTCTCAAGTATGTCGCTGTATTGTCTGAACCTGAATAAGAGAACTAGCGATCAAATATGCGAGTATAGCTGAGACAATATGTTAGATATAAAACGAAGAACATACAACAATGGTTCCCAATCCAAATTCCAAGTGGACCTGACTAAAGAATAGTGCAACAAAACGCATAGACATTATTGTAATACACATTCGAAACTCGAAACCCATTGACGAAGTCATCGGTTTCCATAACATAGACACGAAACTCTGATAGCTGTTGGAATCTCGCAATTCCTGTTATTATCACAATTGAGGTCCACGAATGCATTTTGACTTCTGAAATTTTGACTTCCAGAAATTTAATTAACCATCCCGTATTTGTCAATATTATTTTAAAATATCAATTTTAACATCTCAAAGTTTTGTATGTATTCATATAATCTGTGCTGTGAACAGATATTAATCAATGGTAAAATGACCCTACTTACCGTTTATCCATCTCCTGTGCAGATATTTGTACAAACCGATCCAGTATGTGGTGGTGTTACTGCTACTTCCAAGAAGACTGGTCCGGGCAGATGTATTCAGTTTAACCAAGTCACATGCATTCCGGGCAGCAAACCATGACTTCTGAGGTCTACAAGATATACTTGTAGTTGCACCTATAAAATGAACGAAACTCTGTTAAAGGTGCGTGCACAGAAAACATGGTCAACACTGTGGCACGTATGTTTGTTGACAACACTTTCTACAACCACATTTCCGACTGGCCTCATATCGCCGAAACACTGGCCTTGATGCTGTGAGGTATGACAGTAGTCATGCTGTGTCAGCCAACAAACAGATCCATGCTAACCCGTTTCGCGAACACCTGGTGTCATGACTGGCTTTCATTTATACATTCATATATTTTCACCACTATTTTGCTCTGAGCAGATTTGCTGGATTGACAGAAGACACGTCTCTAGTTCGCTGCATTTAACGACTGTGTGCAATATACTCCTTTATAAACCTTAAACTATAAAATAATAAACCATCATCTGAAGGCGCATGATTAGACGTGAAGGTGTAAGTACTGTTCTGCAGCGTCTGACAACAAACACGCGTTAACGTGTTTATGCAAACTAAAGTGGTGCGCGTGCAGCAGCGTATGCTTTCCGCATTATATGTAACAAGGAGAAGATCAAATGTGGCAACCATGCTTACTTCTTGCCTAATTGTCCTATGCCTCAGTTTCACACAGGGGTTATCACGAACGTCTCAATAAAATTTGTTAGCCATCCCTATATTTGTTGTGAATAAAAGTGGGGTACAAATTTGGAAAATCGAATGTTTTCGAGAATAAAATTTTGTTCGATATTATTTCGGGGAGTTCAAAAATGTAAACACATTCTCAGGGGTTTTTTCACAGTCCACATTGTATTTATTTTATCTGTCCCATTTTCTTTTCTTGTGTAAGTCCGTCCTTGATTATAACAACGATTACAGGTTATCTCCCTAGACTGGCAATTGACCGTGAATGTGTCTATATGCATCTCTTCTTTTTGCATGAAATTGACTGAGTTTTGGAATCTTGTGCAGAAGAGAAATTGTTGTGTCGTCAGGTTTTAGAGTCATGTTATGTCTTCATGCTAGAGTTAGTCGTATATAATATCCTGTATTCAGTGTAGTGTTATTTGTAAAACATACCGTGTCTTCATGAAAGTGGAAATTGTAATACATTGTAAGGTATTAATGGTGGTCGTAATTAGGACAATGATCTTTAGGACTAAACTTAAAGTTTCTTAAAATTAGATATAAATATCAAGGGAGATTTATGTTATTTTGGATGAAACGTAATGCAACTTGCCAGATAAAGTAAAGCAGGCGTAACAATCCTTGAAGTTTTTGCAATCGTCATAAGTTCTGGTATGGATGGAAAGGTCCGTGTCATCCGCATAAGCACAGTACGTGTGTTCCTCTTGATTAAATATCATGTTTTCTAAAAACAGTAAAGACATAATATCAGTTCAAACATTCAAAGATTACCTGAATGATCTACACTTTCAAGATGTACCATTTGCCATGCTACTATGATACTACTAAAACTGAGAGAACGACTATTTTAACGATAATCGAATTTAATCTTGTAGGCTCTGACCACTCGCCTTTTGTGACCGTGCAACTGAAGTATGGTAACTATGAACAACAACATAGTCCAAAACAGCCCTGTCCTTTGTGCCATAATACCGCCAGTGCCCTACAACGACCGTATGGCTGTAATATAGCTTATAGGTGTATTGGCTGGGTTTTCTAAAGAGTCCAATTAGCTTCATACAGATTAATTCTAATACATCGTAGAACTGGTTCGCTCAGTGCGAAGGGAAGTTTTCAAAACAAGGATGAATAAATAGTAACCAAAATACTGCTAAAAGAAATTTTGAAGCCTCACATTTAAGCAGATCTAAGATTCGTGTCAGATGTAGTTAAATGGCAGCAAGGCTGAATAAATAATAACCAAATTACGTTGTTCCTGTCAGGCATCGAGACACTGATCCAGTAAAATTAATCAGTGTCATAGAAATATTTTATGGTATGTAAGGATGAAATTAACGTAGCCGTACCTAGCTTGTATACTGACACCCCCTGGATGTTGCCACACCTTTCCTCCAAGTTTCCGGGACACGTGTTCTCGGATAGCATCGACTTCGTAGTGTTATAGCCTTCTTTCAAACAATAGCACGTGGTTCCCTGTGTATGCACACAAAGACGGACATAATGCTATGTGGTAACATGAGAGTTAACAAAACTATGCCCTGAACGTGCTGTGTGCGATGGAGTTTCATTAACCATGACTCTAAGTATACTACAGCTGACAAACAAACCAATTGTTGTCAGCTAATTGTATTCTGAGTGTGAACCTCTGACCTTTAGAAACTACCAAATCTTCTAAGGAATTGGACTGCTGTTGTCCTTGAGGACGTAACAGTTTTAAAGCATGTTTCACAATCAGACAATATGTATGGAATGTGGTGGTGTATCCATTGAAGGAGTGAGTGAGTTTGGTGATATATCGTGACAGCTTCATGAAGAGGAAGGTTTCTCACGTTCTCCACTTTGATGAAACCCAGACAAATAAGAGTGAGTGAGTTTGGTTTTACATAAGTAGTATGTGAGTGTAACTGTAACTGCCATACAGTTTGCTGCATCTATTTCAAGTGATGAACTAAGGATATATACAACTCACCTTCATGCCTACTGAATATGCTGGACTGCAGTGAAGATGGCACTTCCATACCGAGTTATCAAGATATGTTCCCTTTGGTTCTACTGTCACACTCCCCAGAGGAAGGAAGCCAGCATAGGTGAACAGGGGACTGTCATCTACTGTATTTGGACAATTGAAGGTAATATATTAGAGTAAAGCTGTACTCTAGCTTCTTTAGGTCTACTGATATACTACGCGCCGTATTCCTGATGCTTGTATAATTTCTTGTGAAACGGTTATGTTTAAATTTAGGGTAAGTAAAGTGAGTGACTGATATTGAATCTTATTCTCACAATAAAAAGTGTGGCCAGTAGACAAAAATATCTGGCTGCTCTCATTGTACCTGTCCATAGCCAGACCCTGTAGCTCATGGCACCTATCCAGTAGTATGTTGCCGGCTGTTGATTCTCCATGAGCTCTGCTGGGATGTCATCTGTGCCGGGTGTGTACAACTTGCCTCCGTTGACTTTACATCGGCTTTGGGCCTCCCACCAGTTGTCTCGTTCATTGATAATGTGTATCCGAGAAGTTTCTAGAAAACGGATTTCAGCAACTGATTTACGGCAAAACACGGTCATCTTTTTTAACAAGCACTATTCTCTGTTCTGTGTCGTTTCCACATGAATAAATAATGTATCGGATTTACATAGATTGAATCAGTTATGTCTCCATCATGAAATGTGAAACCAGAGTGAGTACCTCCCGTCCAACTGTTGTTTCTTGCCGTTCACACTCATCAGTATACTGTCAGTACACTATCACATTCATCAGTATACTGTCAGTACACTATCACATTCATCAGTATACTGTCAGTACACTATCACATTCATCAGTATACTGACAGTACACTATCACATTCATCAATATACTGTCAGTACACTATCACATTCATCAGTATGCTGTCAGTACACTATCACATTCATCAGATTACTGTCAGTACTCTATCACATTCATCAGTATGCTGTCAGTACACTATTACATTCATCAGTATGCTGTCAGTACACTATCACATTCATCAGTATGCTATCATTACACTATCACATTCATCAGTATACTGTCAGTACACTATCACATTCATCAGTATGCTGTCAGTACACTATCACATTCATCAGTAAACTGTCAGTACACTATCACATTCATCAGTATACTGTGAGTACACTATCACATTCATTAGTATACTGTCAGTACACTATCACATTCATCAGTTTACTGTCAGTACACTATCACATTCATGACGTCATACTAATAGTGTCAGTATTCACACACCCGTGAAGAATTAAAAAGGTTAGAACTAGTCTTCAGTAGCCCATATGCCTGTCGTAAGAGGCGACTAACGGGATCGGTTGGTCAGGTTTGCTGACTTGGTTGACACATCGTATACCATTTGCTTAGATCGATGTTAATCAATGGATTGTCTGGTCCGCAGACCGCCGCCATATAGCTGGAATATTGCTGAATGCGCCTTAAACAAAACGCAAACACCTGGCAATACACATGTTACTGAAACCGGGTGAGTGAGTGACTGTATATTGTATGAGGATAAAGAAGACACACGTGACATACTAACGTCACTAGAGTGAACCCTAGTCTATGGAACATATTGATTTCCGGGTTCCTGCCGCTTATACACTCATGCTTAAATCAGTGGGCTACAATACTCAATCTGTGAAATGATTAGTTACTGATCTAGCGACACAGCCGTAACCGTCATTGTGGATATTATGCTTGTAGCAGCAGGATAACAGCACCCTAAAACAACCGAGTACGTGACTGAGGACACAATATCATATCCAGTTTCAACACAGATCAGTATCCGAAGGCTGTGAGAACTTGAGAGTTAGAGTAGTCTACACCAATCTCTGAAATACTTGCTGATTAATCTCGCGGAAGGTATACAGGAAGCATACAAATAGAAAACGTGGAAATTAATGCGTGTGGCAGCAGGATAACAGCACCCTAAAACAACCGAGTACCTGCCTGCGGACACACGATGTGTGAACCTACCTATACCCTGACACAAGACAGCACCCCAACACACCAACAGCCATGTAAACAACATGTCCGTCATCCACTGAGTAAATGGAGTGCCTGCATAACGTAGTCTGTCGTCTACAGGGAAGTGTAATTCACACACATTAGGACAGTCCACAAAGCCAGGCAGAATAAAAAAAAGGAAGTGTGTTTATATCTGCATGTAACACATGAATCAGCGGAATACTGCACATAGACATCCAGACACTGTAGACTATGCTTGTATTTCTCCTTACGTAGACATTATAAACTTATAAGTGTTGTTTGGGTAAAATGAGTGCAGCATAGCTTAAAAGAACGCTTTGTGGCAGCATTTGCGGCTTGGTCATTCCGGCCCATTACAATGCATGTTTTCTCTTCGCTCACAACCATTCCACAATAACAATTTCGGGATGTCTTCAAGTGTTGCTACATGTACAAAAGTCATGTAAGGAATGATTGTATGTTTCCCAGCATTTGTTTCATTATAGGCAAACATGTGACGTTATAAGCGAATACGGGTAAATATTTACTCTAGAATAGAAGTAACTATCAGAATACTTAGAGGACAATCTGGATCTAATTACTCTCCTATTGTTAAAGACTCCCCTCTCATATCCAAAGATAGGTCTCCATAAACCTTGGCTTTTTGATCGTGGCAACTCAAGTGGGATGTGTAAATGCAACGTCGGTAATGATAAAACTAACTATCATACCAATTTATACATACATTCAGTGTTTCCTTTCCCAAGTTGTTTGTGGAGTATTTTTCTAAATAAGGTCGATATTTTCCTAATTTGCTGTATAAAGGCGATGAGAAAGCCTAGCGGTTAAAATGTCTGGCTGTCATGGCGAAGGTTGGGGCTCGATTACACAAATGGGTACTATTGTGAAGTCCATTTATGTTTTCCGCAGGCATCATGATTCTGGAATACTGCTGGAAGCGGCGTTAATATATTCTCACTCATTCATTTACAACAGACAAAAAACATCCATGAGGCATCTTATTCAGTAGGGACTCAAACCTGGTAGGGCTTTGATTCATTACAGGAACAACGTGTATCAAAGTTGTTGTTTCATATGAAATGTGGCGTAATACCGCAGCACGTGGGAACAGTATACTAGCGGAATAAAGTAACTGTGCATTATTTTATGCCATATTTTATTGCAAAAAGATAATAGGATTTGTGGTGTTTTCCTTAATCACCGCTTAACTGTTGACAGGATGAGATCGAAATCTATATGATTTGACACTGGGCATCGGGACACGCCCTTGAAGAGATGTGGTGTCAAAAGTCAGTTCACAAATTCAGCATCGTGTGTGTCCACCATTGCTGTTGATGCAGGTTTGACAACGACGACGCATAGACAACACTAAGAGATTGAAGAAAGCTTGGGGAATGATGTTCCATGTCTGAACCAAAGCTTGTTCCAATTAAGCTCACTCAATAGCTGATTCTCGGTTTGACGTAAACGTTTCTCCATTTCATCCCAAACGGGTCCGGAGAAACAGCTGGCAAGGGGGAGTTCAGAAACAGAAGAAATCTCGACTCGTCAGTGAACAAAACACCATCCCAATCCTGCATCACGTGCCTGTCGGTGAAAAAATTGGACGTTGTGCTCCCTCAATCGCTTCCGTTCAGTCCTGGAAGTGATTGGACGTAAGCCAGGAATGGTCCGAGCAGGCAACTGGCAGTCTGGAGTCGATTCCTTAGATGGTCAGCCGAAAGTGGTTGTCTAGCTGACGTGAAGTCACGCGTGGATGGCCGGTCCGAGGCAAATCTCTCGTGTTGCCACAATCTTGAAAACGTCTCCATAGAGATGAGATCGTGTTACGATGGACACCAAAATGGCTGGCCACTTTATTTTGGGCCATTCCCAGTCTCCAGCATCCCCACGGCGCGGAGACGCTGATTTTCTGTAAGCCGTGGCATGACATACACGCAGTTTAGGTTGAAATTAACGTGTTTTCCACAATATTCAAAGGTTAGAGAATCATCAGTCATTTTCAGTATCAGGTGCGTGAACTTCAGGTGTCAAAAGGCATGCCAAAGTGAGTAAGTTCATTGTGCACAAAATGCACGTGCCACGCGCGAATCGTGACATCAAATTCCGTGCAAAGTGCTTTCATACATGTTTATTTAGGGTTATTTTTAGAAATTTTCAAATAACTTTTATTTTATGCAATTTTATGCTATGCACGGATACTTTTTTTCGTTAGTATAGATAATCCATTCCTTGTCTGAGGGAAGAGTTTACAATCGACCCTTTTGCAGGCTAAGTCTATTACCCAAGGATGGTTAACAAGTACGCAGACTGAACTAAAGCGCCAGAAACATAAAAATGAAATTGCTTTATCTAATGTAGAATTTCTGTACAGTTGTGTTTGGCAAAGTGTCCAGCGTGAGATGAACATGAGAATATAGCCAGAGCCCGTACTGTAATGTTATTTTCCTTCCTTGATTCACGGTCACATGACTCAACAAGGAACAAATGTTGCTCAGAACAAGTGTGTTGTGAAATCACGCTGTTTAATTACGTTTGATTGCTGAAAGATGAAATTATACAAGTGTGTATCTTTCTATCTGTCTGTCATACCTTGTGTCTTCATGTTTTAATTTGGAAGGAATCAGATAATCAGATTCGGATGGTTTAGGATACTGTTGAATGGGCCAACTGATAAATACAGGAAGCGATTAAAACAAAAAATATGTTTGGGTAAAACTGGTAAAGTATGGAAGCGTTCATCGAATGTAATTTTATTAATTAAATGTCTGTCTGTCAAACGTTTTAATGGAAGACTCGGTATACGTGGCTAATGTAAGCTGTTTCTTTCCAAGACTCAACTCGGGGTGACTTGACCAGGAACAGATATAAAAATAGATAAAACCAGGAAACACAGGACAATGTTAGATGATGATAACTCAGTTTACAATTGAAGGAAACTTATCTGTGCCATCACGAATGACGTCAGTCAGAGTTGAACGTTTTCTAACAATGTAGACAGGGATACGAAAACACTCTTCAGAGAAACACAGGCGATGATTAGAATGGTGACTTTGTTTATTCATGAAACATGTAATACAAATGCCATATTTGTATACGATATTACGTACATGTTAACTGGTTTAATGCACAAACCGCCACCGTTATATGTCTTGTAGCTTTATAAGGCAAGACTACATGAACACGTCATAGAAAGGACATTACAAAAAGAATGCACCTGCAAGTTGTGACGATCACTTAAAAACATGAAATGAAAGCAGGTGTAACGTCAATCAACATTTAGTTATACCTTTGTCGTTTAAGTGGAAATGGCAAAATGTCGAGACTGAATGCTACAATATCGCAACTTCGGAATATGACTTCTTGAGACGGGAAAACCCCAATATGCAGTTACCCGTTATTTTACCGTACACCAAAACACTTTACCGCCTTTAAGGTATCGGATTACTCGCAACAATTCAACAAGTGTCACCCAAACTATACAAGTTCGCTACATCCGGGTTTCTCATGTACAATATGGACATGCTGGTTTCAAACCAACTTGTATGGGAGATATTGTTGTCTTTAGCGTTAAGATCGCTTGTACAAACGATACCCAGAAACAAAATACTTCTTTAGTTATTTTTTGTATGTTGTCCAAAACATACAATCGTGTTTGGTAAGGTGACCTATTTAGAAGATGTATCAATTTCCTGAAATGTGTATAAGGGAAAATGTAGGATTGTACTGTTTTCGGTGAAAAACAGCCCCTCTGCTGTACATGGGAATATCGTCAGTAGGGGTAGTGACATTTGTCTTCCTTGAGTTGATATACTGGTATGCCATTCAACAACTTTGGAACAATGTAGGATTGAAACTGTGTGTAATTATTCCACAACGTCTACATGGTTGGATAGAGACGTGCCAGCATAAACAGTTGGTTATAACGGTTAAATATCTTTATGTTTACCAATTAAATATTTTATTTTATTCTATATTATATTTCTGATATTTGAATTTGGACGACGAACTATGTCTGGTACAAATCATACAATCAGATAAGGATACATTGAGATACCGGTGAATGATAAAACTGAATTTGACATAATTACCCAGAACGATTAACGCAACCATACACCAATTAGATCTGGATGAAACTGGTGCAGTTTGGAAATGTATATCAAGCATTTTCCCTATGGACTAAATGTAGGCAAACAGAAGGGGTATTACTTAAAGGAGAATACTAGACAATTGCAATAATTTGCTGGGTGAAAGAAAAAGTCATCAGAAACATGTACCCCAATTTTTATTTCAAAAATATGGTTTATTATGCTGTAATCGCGAAAACAGTTTCTGTTATCTGAGCTTGGTATAGACCACTCTCCTATCCAGAGTTCCCCGGGCCAGCTCGCATAGTAGCTCTTCCACAGGCCAGAAAGTTGTGACGATGCGTCACATCTTACACAGTCCATTCAATATAATGTACGTATTTCTGAACTCTTTTATATTTGATGAGTCTACATATCTAATTAAACATCATTGTTAGAATAGTTTATTTTCACTGAGAAAATATCCTTAAACGTCTGAAACTATTTCAATTTGCGCAGCGATCCTTTGATATCATTTTTTGAAGATTCTCATTTTATTACTGACTGATTTTAAAATGTGAATGAGAAGTTATAGTTCCATGTTTACTAATGGAACATTTATCAGAAATATAACTATCTAATAACTTTTATATGAAGAACATAATATCAAAGTTGACAAAACTATGCATTTACGGCATATATTTAATCATTATAAATAAATTTGAGCAAATTAGAATGAATGACCAAATTTGCTGGCCATTTTGTAGCTGGGGCAGTTTGACTGGTACACATGAGATATATATTATCAAAATCAGTAAGAGATTTCACAAGAGTAAGAGCTTGAAAATGTTTCGCTATAACGTTCTTTTCGGTTTGGAGCCCTAAATGATGCAGTCTACCCGAAACATTGCCGAATACAACGGCAAATCATGAAGTACATGTTGCTTTCATTTTTTCCATTTTGTCCACTTACGCACGTCGGCATCAGATTCGCTATTTGTC